TGCAGTGAGCTGAGATTGCGCCACTGCACTCCAGTCTGGTGACAGAGCAAGACTCCGTTTCAAAAAAAAAAAAAAAAGAAAAAAGAAAATTTAATGGCATAATACATAAAAATATTTCGCAGAGTACCTACCACACAGTAAGCAACTATTATAATATTCTTGGCATTAACTCTTAGCTCTATGCTGAAATTCCGAAATATCTCTCTTTATAGCCCTAAGCTTTTAGACGCTAATTTCCAGCTGTTTGTTAGACATTATATTGATAGCCTACTAGTGACACAAATTCAGCATGCCCAAATCTGAACTTAACAACCCTACACCTCCCCAAACCTGTTTAGTCCCAGGCTCTATTTCTGATCCATCATGCCAGTCATTGGGCTCAAAATCAAGTTGTTATAATTTTCTCCCTTTCACTCCTCCTTCCAACCAGTGGCCAGTTCTCCCATATGCACAATAATGTTTCCATCCATCTTATCTCCATTCCCACTGCCTCTACCTAGTTCTAGCCCTCAATGTTTTTTTTTTGTTTTTTTTGTTTTTTTCTTGAGATGGAGTTTCACTCTTATTGCCCAGGCTGGAGTGCAATGGCGCAATCTTGGCTCACCGCAACCTCTGCCCCCGGGTTCAAGCAATTCTACCATCTCAGCCTCCCGAGTAGCTGGGATTATAGGCACGCACCACCACGCCTGGCTAATTTTTATATTTTTACTAGAGACAGGGTTTCACCATGTTGGCCAGGCTGGTCTCCAACTCCTGACCTCAAGTGATCCACCCCTTAGCCTCCCAAAGTGCTGGGATTACAGGTGTGAGCCACTGTGCCTGGCCCCAGCCCTCAATGCTTCTTATTGAGACGCCATAATAGTTTCCTAATTTGTCTCCCCACCTCGTTTCTTCCCCTCCAATCCTCCTACACACTACTGCCAGATCTGTCTTCATAAAACGATGACACACCCATACTCAAAAACATTCAGTAGTTCACCACTGCCTACTGTACAAGGACCAAAAACTCCTTAGCCCTATATGAAAGGTCTTTGGTGATCTACCCCAGCTTTCCTTTCTAGTCCTTTCTCTCACTCTTTCTGTCAGCTAAAAGGGACTGTTTACTCTCTGTGATACTGTGAAATATATATTTGGTCCTCCCTGTTTCCTGGCATACAAAATCTAAAATCATTAGTGCCTCCAAAGTGATGTCTTCTTGTATGCTGAGTTGACTGGTTGCTGGCAGCCCCTAAGTAGCTTCAGGATGGTGGCTGGTCACTGGAAAGACTCAGGCAGGATTAAAGTGTTATAACTTTCAGCCCCACCCCCATCACACACACACTTCCTGGGAAGAGAGGGGCTGAAGGCTAAGTTAATCACCAATGGCCAGTGGTTTAATCAATCATGCCTACATAATGAAGTCTCCATTAAAAACCCAAAAGGATAGGATTTGGAGAGCTTCTGGATAGCTGAACAGGTTCCTGGGGCGTAGCGTGCCTGCCTGGGGAGGGCATAGAAGCTTCCCGCCACTTCCCATACCTCGCATTATGCATCCCTTCATCCGTATCCTTTGTAATACCCTTTATAATAAACCAGTAAACAGGTTTCCTTCAGTCCTGTCAGCTGCTCTAGCAAATTAATTGAACCCAAGGAGGGGGTCGTGGGAACCCGTTTATAGCCAGGTGGTGAGAAGCACAAATAAAGCAACCTGGAGCCTGTGACTGGCATATGAAGGAAGGGGCGGGGGGCTTAGAGACTGACTCATCAACCTTTGGCATCTGATGCTGTCCCCAGGTAGATAGTGTCAGAATTGAACTGAATTAAAGGACACCCAACTGGTGTCCGCTGCAGAATTGCTTGCTTGCTTATTGGTTGGGGAAAAATTCCCACACATTTGGTCACAGAAGTCTTCTGTGTCAATTGTCGAACTCCTGACCTCAGGTGATCCGCCCACCTCGGCCTCCCAAAGTGGTGGGATTACAGGCGTGAGCCACCTTGCCCAGCCTCCCTTCAATTTTACTAAAAGTACAGATTCCCAACAGAAACTGAGAAATGCTAGCTAACACTTTTTTCTCTTAGGTATTACTCTATGATCTCTCCCTTACCCCCATTTTATTCCTTTTCTCATTTCGTATTATTTTACACGCTATTTGACCACTCTTTTCCACTTGAAACCACTCTCTTGCCATCAATGTTATTATATTCTCCTAGGTCTGCTGCTTCCCCTGATTATGTCTCCAGGCCCTCTTCCTTCTCCGAGGTCTAAGCTCCTCAGATCCATCCTTGGCATGTTCCCTTCTCTTTCCTATTCTTTCTCTTAACGGGTTTGTCTAACAGAGTGTATGGTTAAGAGCACAGTCTCCAGAATCAAACTAGTCTGCCTGTATTGTGACCTTGGGCAGTCTGCCTCTCTGCGTGGCAATTTCCTTATTTGTAAAAGAGTAACTCTCTCATAAGATTGCTATGAAAGTTTAATGGGGCCAGGCGCGG